TATAGATTTAAAGATAATAATAAATGATCATACTAATGGAATTTGATTAAAATTGTTAAGAAACTTACAAAATAATGAATGTCTATATTTACTCTTCTTGTAACATTTTTGTTATTTAATTCATAAAATGTTGTTTCACATTTTTGTAAGCCTATAAATAGGCATGTGTAAACTATTTTTTAAAAACACATCAAAACAAGAAAGAAAGCATAATACAAATCAAATACCCTCCCTTCTTCATATATCTCTTTCTCTTCTTTATATCTCCTTTTAGCATATATAGTTCTTATTATTTTTACAACACGTTATCAGCACGAAGCTTTTTCAAGATCATGGATAAATATCATTCTGAGCTCCAAGTTGAGGATATATGTCTTATAGACAGTGCGACAACGCACACTATTCTTAAAGATAAGAAATATTTCTTGAATTTGAGAAATGATCGAGCACATGTCAATACTATATCAGGATGTGCACAAATAATTGAGGGCTCTGGAAGAGCAAGTTTTATTATGCCAAATGGCACAAAACTCATGATCGAAAATGCATTATTTTCGCCTAAGTCTCAAAGAAATTTGTTAAGTTTTAAGGATATTCGTTCAAATGGATATCATATTGAGACTATGAGTGAAAGAAATATTGAATATCTTTGCATTACCTCAATTATGATGGGCAAAAGATATATGTTAGAAAAACTACCCGCGTTTTCATCTGGATTATATTATATAACTATGAGAATGAGTGAATCATATAATACAGTAAATTCAAAATTTACTGACATTGTAAACCAGAAGTTTACAGATACATTTAAGGTTTGGCATGACAGATTAGGTCATCCTGGTTCAACAATGATGCGAAAAATTATTAAGAATTCATGTGGTCATGTATTGAAAAACCAGAAGATTTTTCAATCTCACGAATTCTCTTGTGCTGCATGTTCCAAAGGAAAGTTGATAATAAGACCCTCACCAACTAAGATAAGAAATGAATCGTTAACATTTTTGGAACGAATTCATGGTGATATATGTGGCCCAATTCATCCACCATGTGGACCATTTCGATATTTTATGGTTCTGATCGATGCATCAACTCGATGGTCACATGTGTGTTTGTTATCATCTCGTAATTTAGCTTTTGCAAGGTTACTTGCACAAATAATACGATTACGAGCACATTTTCCTGACTATCCAATAAAAACAATTCGACTCGATAATGCTGGTGAGTTTACGTCCCAATCATTTATAACTTATTGTATGTCGGTTGGAATAAAAGTGGAACATCCTGTAGCTTATGTTCACACTCAAAATGGTCTAGCTGAATCATTTATAAAACGAATCCAATGGATTGCGAGACCTATGCTTATAAAATCTAATCTCCCTATAGGGGCCTGGGGACATGCTGTTCTACATGCATCACAACTTATACGAATCAGACCAACAAGTTACAATGATATTTCTCCATTACAATTGGTTCATGGTCAGGAACCAAATATTTCCCATATACGAATATTCGGATGTGCGGTATATATTCCAATTAGTCCACCACAACGCACAAAAATGGGACCCCAACGAAGGATGGGAATTTATGTTGGATATGAATCTCCATCTATAATCAAATATATTGAACCAACGACTGGAGATTTATTTACTGCAAGATTTGCAGATTGTCATTTTGACGAATCATTATTCCCAACATTAAGAGGGAATAATAAACAACTGGAAAATGAGATATCATGGAATGAATTATCATTAAAAGGATTAGATCCTCGAACAAAAGATTGTGAACTAGAAGTTCAAAGGATAATTCATTTGCAAAGTATTGCAAATCAACTGCCAGATGCATTTACTGACCACAAAAGAGTAACAAAATCTCATATTCCAGCTGTAAATGCTCCTATTAGAATTAATGTATATGAAGAGCAACCTACGATTGCTAGTGAGTCTAAGGCACGCCTGAAGCGTGGTAGACCAATTGGTTCCAAAGATAAAAATCCTCGAAAAAGAAAAGGAGCAAATAATTATGATAATAACGAGGATATTTCTCCAGAAGAGACCGTTGACATAGTTAATAATGAAGAGAATCAGGTACCTACAATTAATGATAATGAAGAGATCTCGATTAACTACGTCACTA